TTATGCATTTTCATGTAATAAAAACTGTAAACAGAAGGTTACATGTTTTTCGATTCAATAGATAATTTATTGATCTATTGTAACTCGTAAACATTTTCGACTTCAACACAATAAACCTCATTTTAAGACATTTTTATCTCTTTTTGAATTTTCCCATGCCCTGCAAGAAAAAAATTTTCTTCAATCAAACACAACTTGCTTAGGGAAAGAAAAAATGTGGCGGCGAGCAGACAATTTTTTGACCTACCTCCTTAATGTGTACCACACCACTCATTCCCTCAACTCCAGGTACAACAGTTACAACCAGTACAGGTTCCAGGATCAAGGACCTCTTCAAACGCAGGAAGGTGTACCCGCCAAGTTAATGAAGATGGTACCTCAGGAGGGGTACTTATGGGCGTGGTGAGACCAGCTCACCACTGGGAAAATCCGCTCGCCACCACGTGCTTACAGAACAAAATTTTGACATAATATATGCTAACTTCTCGTGTACCCTGTCCTTATGGGATGAAATCTCAAAAAAACAACACATGCGTAAGGTAAAAATGGGGTAGAAAAAATGTGGCGGCGAGCTAGAGATTATTTTGCTAGTGCCATTCATGAGGGTGATGTACCTCAGAAGGGAACCAATATGGGTGTGATGATATTATGGTGGGGCAACCCTGGTCAGTATATTTTAATAATAAAACAAGTTAACTTTCCATTCACAAAGAGCGCAAAGAGCGATGAGATGTGTTTATCTGGATCAAAATATTCAAGGTAAGAGAATACATGTTGTTTCAAAACAAGATACGCCGCGGAACTTTGACCCGAACTTTTCTTTTTTTAGTGCGTGGAAGTGACATCGACCAAGAACTTTATCCGATCGTCTTAGCTGAAGAAACTCCTGAAAAGGTAAGATTTATTTTCATTGCGATGAAAATATTTTTCAGTACGCATATTTTAACAGACGGATTTGTTTTTATTTAATAGTGAAATGAAGCCATGAAGCCGCCGTTGATATTCATTCCTGTGATTTCCAGAAGAGAAACTGTAAAACTCCAACTGTTATGTTAAATAAAAACAAAGTTTCATTCAAAACAAGTCTGTTTTCATTCAAGAAATTTTTTTAGCGGGGGGGAGAAACTTCTTATCTGTCAAAAAATCTATTTACCCACGCGTAACAGATTCCTATCTCCTCGCGCTTGCAAACCCATTCCATACACGCGTGCGCTCATTAAACTCGGTACCAGAAAATCCTGACGCCACCATGAAGTCTTTCCCTTTTCTGGTGTTTCTGGTCTGCCTCTCAGTTGGTGAGTTCACCATAGTTCCTTTTGATTGCCAATTTGTGCCAATGAATCTAGCTCCCTAACCGCTACACAAGCGATCTGCTTGAATCACGTATCCCGAAAAACTAAGAAAGGGAAATTTTAGTTTATTTGCAACTTCTCCTTAATCTTTAACAGGTAAAAAACAGAGGTTTACTTTGAAACC